AACCGTGGAATTCGGATCGAGGATTTCAGATTGCCCGACCCGCCCCGCATCCGCACTCGCTCGAGACCAGAGGCGCTTGAGCTGCTCTGTCGAGATGGTTTTGACGATATGGAATCTGTCCCGACAAGAAAGCAACTTCGGCTAAAGCGACGGAAGCAGCTCGTCATACGCGGCATGGGTCAACTTGCGATCACTACTGCGCCTCGAACGACCTTGGCCAGACTCAAGCGGCGGCCCAGAATGCCCGAGATCGACCCAGATCTTCTTCCGACAATTCAAGAGATATGTGAACCAAGACAGGGCGGGATTAGTGTAGAACATCCGAATGTAGTAAACATAATTAACAAAGACGCAAGTATAACTCCCGGAAGCGACAACCCTCTGAAGGACTCTTCAACAGAGAAAGGACCGCCTTCAAGACAGGAGTCGACTGTCTTCCGTTCGTTCAGAAGAAGCCTACCTCGACGCCGAAGCCCTCTGCAATTTGGTCGCACGTTGACAGGAGATCTCAAGATGGTGCGGGCATTCCGATATGAGACACCTGGCCACGAAACTGAGGATGACGAGGAAGCAATGTCCCTCAGCGATGACGAGTCAATGTCAGACTCGATATCTCAGAGCAGTCGAGACACGGATGCTTCAGAGGATGGTCAATCAGAAGCGGTGGACTTGGCATCGAATCTGGCGTCTACCAGCAAAGACCAAGAAGAGACACAACTTACAATTTACAACGGAGATGATGATCTGGTCCCAAGCGTTCAAACACGCGCCCGCGATGCGACAGGGCGGGTTTTGGCGTTGACGGATAGCCAAGCTTTTGCACAGACTGCATCTCTTGACTGTACTACTGCGGCCACCCATGAAAGTATCACGCACTCTGCGAGGCGGAACGCACGACACAGTCCGGACCGCAACATAAAGCTGTTCCCTGAGAGAGGGGGCACTGTAACTGAGAGTATTCGAATACCGGGTCGACTGACAAGGTCGGTAAGTTGCAAGAACACTGTTCGAGCGACCAAAAAGTCCGGAGGAAAATTCTATGGCAGACGTTACCACAGCGAACAACGTGCTGGAAGCATGTTTCATGACGTCAAGTAGACGAGGGCGGATATGGTGATAGAACGCCATCTGTGTTCAGCTTCAGAATTATGGTGCTAGGGACTCAAGATGTTGCTTTTCACGTTGGAGTTAGCCAGGGAGGACACACATATGGACACGCAAAGATCCACTACAATATGTTGGTCCTTTTCGCGGGTTTGAGACAGCATGAAATATCATGACTTAATCTTTCAGTTGCCTGTATATGGTATCAACAAGAACCGGAGCTTTTGACCCCCCACGTCTGCTTCTGTGAAACAGCCTTTCCCGATCCACCTAACGCCTTGCGCCAGCTGTGCGACAGAGTCCCGTTTCTTCACCCCTCATTTCGCGCCCTTGCCCTTGGCTTCCGCGTCACCGAGCTCCCTGACCAACACCTTGGCCTTTCCCTCGCCAGTGTAGTCCTCCATCCCCGTCTCGAAGCCCGGGCAGACGCCGATGGCGAGGTACTTGCCATCAGAAGAAAAGGCCAGGGCAGCGACGCTGTCGGGAAACTTTTGGTACTGCTTCATGCGGCGCTTGGCCTCGGCGTCCCATAGCGCGACAGTGCCGTCGCCGCCTCCGGAGGCGAAGGTGCCATACACGGGGTGGAAAGCAAGAGCGTTCACCGGATAGACAATATCGCCGGCACCGGCGCCGTTCTCGTCGGCAGGGGCGGCTTGTCTATGGCACTTGAACGCGTACTTGCGGGCCTGGGACTCGGGGGAGTCCTCGAACCATTCGACGGCGACACGGCCTTCGATGCTGGAGGTGGCGTAGCCAGCGTCATTGGGCATGCAGGATACGGCGCGAGTGAGAAACTTGAGAGAGGACTCGCGCTGCTGCCAAGGCTTGATCTCGGGCGGAGAAGAGGCACTGAACAGGGCGGGGATGGGGGTGAGGTCGTAGATGTGGACGAGGCGAGCGGTCATGGCGACAACGAGCTTGGAAGGACTTGCGCTGAGAGCGTGGGGTTTGCCGGGGAGGGAGATGGTGAGGTTGGGTGCTGAGGGGTCTTTTGTGTTGTGAATCTGAAGGGTCTGGTCCCAGGAGGCGGTGATGAGGAGGGCTAGCTGGTGTTAGCTCGGTGACTTGGTAGCACGAGAGAAGAGCGCCTGCCTACATTGCTCGGGGCTGTAGACCACACATCGTACTGGCGCGCTGTGCTTGGCAATTGATGTCTTTTCGCCAGTCTCAAGATCGATCCTACGGGCGACGGGTCAGTCTGGGAGTCACGCATGGCGGAACGGGGGGCACTCATACTTGTAGGCTTGCCAGTCCAGGCATGCACTGTACGCCTCGTTGTCGGTGGCTCCGAAGCAGACATCTAGTACTGGCGCGCGGTGTTCGAATGTGCTGATCTGCGTGCCCTGCGCCTCTTCAATGCCGGAGTGGGTGTCGTAGAGGTAGACGTTCTTGTCCCACGACGAAACCAGGAGCCTTGTCGAGTTCTGGGGCGCATAAGAGAGGGACGAGACGGCATCGTTGGGCGGTTGCGCCAGCTCGAATTGAGTTGCTATGACCGCTATTAGCTACCGTCCGGCCAAGTGATCAAATTGGATAGCAGTGAAGAGAACCTACCGGGCGCCATGATCAGGTTGCTGAGGTGGGGATACTCGTGATGCTTGTTCACCGACGTGGAAGCTTTTGTTTACTTAGCTTCGGCCCTGGAGCTCACAGCACTGAAAATGCCCCATGCATCTGTCTGGCTCTACAACAGTCTTGGGTGACTGCACTGCGACAAGAGGTAGAGGGGTATCAGTCACGTGGCGATAACGACTCCTTGCCATTCAGTGTGCGCAAGCTTGGGCGGGCTGTTGCCGGCTGTTGCCGCCATAGCTGGGGGCATCAGCCACACCAAGCCTCACCCCACCATCACTGCCGCAATTTCTTCGACGAGCGGCCAAAATTGTGACTCCTGCCTCCCCGACGCTACGATTGTCTGTCTGATCTGAATTCGGAATCCGCTCGGCATCCGCGACTCGAAAACGTCAAACCTCTCTGTTGCCGTTTCTTCCACCGCTACGATCATTCCATTTCGACCTTGAACGACGACGGAAACCCACCCCGAAGACGATCGAGCTACACCCGAAAGCAAGCGGCCACTTCACCCCGCCTTGCCCCATATCTTCCCTCCTTCAACACCACACACTCAGTCAGGCCGAAAGTCGCGAGCGCGCGCATAACCGCCACCATGTCGGAGCCAAACTACTCCCACTTTCGATACTTCGAAAACAAGTATCCCGAGATTGACGAGTTCGTCATGTACGTTTTGTTCCGGAACACCATCTCGAGTCAAAGGCCTCATTGCTAACATGGATTCTCCAGGGTCAACGTCAAGCAGGTCCGTTTGCTACCGCCGAGCTCTGCATGCTCTCCACCCAAGCATGTTTCGAGATGCGATGCGCTCTCCAAGAGGTTGTTGACATGTCTGACACGAGTTTCCAGATTGCCGAGATGGGTGCTTACGTCAAGCTCCTCGAGTACGACAACATTGACGGCATGATTCTGCTTTCCGAGCTGTCGAGACGTCGTATCAGGTCCATCCAAAAGCTTATCCGCGTCGGCCGCAACGAGGTCGTCGTCGTGCTTCGTGTCGACAAGGAGAAGGGTTACATCGATCTCAGCAAGCGTCGTGTGTCCCCCGAGGATATCATCAAGTGCGAGGAGCGTTACAACAAAGGCAAGATGGTCCACTCCATCATGCGCCACGTCGCCGAGAAGACCCTGACTCCCATCGACTCCCTGTACGAGAGCATAGCATGGCCGCTCAACAAGAAGTTCGGCCACGCGATCGACGCCTTCAAGCTCTCCATCACGTAAGGCTTGCAAGGCAACTGTTTTTCTGGAGAAGGTCGTGTTTGTGCTGACGAGACATGTAGCAACCCCGATGTTTGGCAGGACGTCACCTTCCCCTCGGAGGCGGTTGCGGAGGAGCTCAAGTCGTACATTGGAAAGCGCCTCACACCCCAGCCCACCAAGGTCCGTGCCGACGTTGAAGTGACCTGCTTCGGTTACGACGGTATCGATGCCGTCAAGACTGCGCTGCGGACCGCCGAGTCGAGGAACACGGATGAGACCCAGGTCAAGGTCAAGCTGGTGTCGCCCCCTCTCTACGTCCTCACCAGCACGTGCCTCGACAAGAGCCACGGCATCACTCGCCTGGAGGAGGCCATTGTTGACATTAGGACGAGCATCGAGGCGGCCGGCGGACAATTGATCGTCAAGATGGAGCCCAAGGCCGTCACGGAGAGCGATGACGCGGAGCTGCAGGCGTTGATGGAGAAGCGCGAGCGTGAGAACGCCGAGGTCAGCGGTGACGAGAGCGTCAGCGGCAGCGACGATGACATCCCCGACACTGTTTGAGGAGATGATGGTCGATCATTCGGCGACGGCTCGGGACGGTCTCCACGAAAACATTTGAAAAATGCCCGGCCCGTCATGCCCAATCGCCGCGCACGCGGAGTTGTTCAGTCGGAAGCGGTGGGGGATCTGGCTTGGCGCGGACATGAGAGCATAGATGCTAGATGCCGCGTAGACGGGCTACGCGACATATAGCGAGGGTCGGGGTCAGGGGAAGGGCTTGGGGTCCGGGGTTGGGGCTGGTAGGCTGCCAGCCCCCGGCGCCCACCCTTCCAGAGGAGTCTCGGGGGCGTCAAAAGCATTGTCGCGGGGGGCACTGCAAGTAGTGCTGATTTGGGTTGATGAATACAATGAAACTCTACACAGTGTACTTTATGAAATGAAAGATGAGCATGGTGTGCCGGGACGTGAGAGACTTTGACTTGCTCGTGGTGCGAAATGGAGAGGTGGCTTTGAGCATGAAAGTGCGATAAGCCAGGTACGATAAGATAAGAAATGGGAGCCCTTTCTTGACAGGAATAGTGCAACACATCCGAGCCCAGCTCGCTCACCTCACCCATGACGAACTCCAGATCGAAACTCAGCAGCCCGATTTTCATCATTGTGTAGAAGGGGAGGGGAGACAGAAATTCCATCTGCAGCAGCAGCAGGAGCTCGACATGAGCGCACGCCTCCGATGGCTCACGGCGCGGCCGTTTCTCACAGACTTTTCTAAACGCCTGCTCGGGTACGCGACGTGGATCCCCGTGGTCATCATGTTCAACAATTACGTCGCCGAAATACACAACGTCCACGGACCGTCCATGTACCCCTTTTTCAACGAGGACTACAACAGCAGCCTGTTGCAGGACAAGGTCCTCACGTGGAAGTGGTGGCCTCAGTATGACCTCGAACGCGGCATGATTGTGACATTCAGGTGAGCGGTGCCGGGCTCAGAGGAGGTGCCGGGCGCGTTGAGGCTGACGTGGTTGTAGGAGTCCCAACAACCCAGAGGCCATCTCTATCAAGAGGATCATCGCGGTGGAGGGTGACGTTGTCAGGACAAAGGCGCCGTATCCGGAGCCAGTGGCACGGGTGCCGCAGGGACATATCTGGGTGGAGGGCGATGGGGATAAGACGATTGACAGCAACACATATGGACCGGTGCCGATGAGCTTAGTGACGGGCAAGGTGACTCACTTTTTGTATCCGTTGAAGAAGTTTGGGCCGATACGATGGTGGGAACATAAGGGCCGAGAGAGGTAGCAGTTGATGAGCCTGGATAGAAGCTGTCAAAGTTGTTTCTCACCGATCAAAGTGGACCTCGTGGGTTTGCAAATAAATCTGTGTCCCTGGGACTGCATATATTATGACTCTTCTAGAAGACAAGCCCGATCCGTCATATCGTCAGCTATTTTCAACTGCGTACAGTACAACTCGTCGTCTCCGGCAGAAGCACGACATGCCTTCACAAATACGGTGCTCTACGAGAGCACGGATACTTCCACTTGAGGACAACAGGACACCGCAGACTGTGGGCCTAAGACGTCAAGGGCGGCCTAGTGCGGAGAGGCGGACGCTGACCTCAACCCTCACTCGCGGCATGGAGCCTGGAATTGGACCCCTGCAGCAATTTTCAACCTGCCCTGGACCGTCCGCCTCTTATCAAGCAGTCAAGCAGAGCAAAACCGCATCCGCAACAACGTAGCATCTCCGTCCCCGCGCCGAGTTTTGCCTCCCGCAACTTCAGCCCGCTCCCATCATCACCGGGGAGGCCTCTTGGCGACATCACGACCGGCTTCTCCGCCGCCGCCTTTTTCCTGTGGCTTCGACACGTCCCTCTCACCACATCGACCAGCATCCCATCTTCATCTTCCTGCTTCCCGAATCGACCGCTGAGTAGTCATCTCGCTCCTTTCGACGGCGGCGGTCGACCAGCTGTTGATCCTCGGCGTCGCATCTTCCGGGCGACCTCGATGTCCCTCGCTGACCGCATCACTGGTCTCTTCTCGCCCACGACGCCCTCCTCACCGGCTCCTCTTGACGATCGACATGCGGCCGGCGCAGACCTCCTCACCAATCTTGGATACCGCGGCACCCCCACCACCCCAGACGCCGCTCACCACCAGTCACCGCTCTCAGCCCAGGCCCGGGCCCAGGCACAGGCACAGGCACAGGCCATGAGCAACGCCGCCTCCGACCATGCCGACCTCGGCGAGGAGGCGCGCCCTCCCTACCTGCACGCCATGATCGCCGGCGGCATAGGCGGCTCGACAGGCGACATGCTCATGCACTCCCTCGACACCGTCAAGACGCGCCAGCAGGGCGACCCACACGTGCCCCCCAAGTACAACAGCCTCACCACATCCTACTACACGATATGGCGGCAGGAGGGCGTGCGCAGAGGCCTGTACGGCGGGTGGAAGCCCGCCCTCGGCGGCTCCTTTCCGGGCACCATGCTCTTCTTCGGCACATATGAATGGAGCAAGCGCGTGTTGATCGATGGCGGGGTGCCGCACCACCTCGCCTATTTCTCGGCCGGTACGTCAGAACGAACCTCTGCTCTCCATCTGCTTCTCTCCCCCTTTCCAAAACGCGTGTGCTGACTCTCTGACGATAGGTTTCCTCGGCGACCTGGCGTCGTCCATCGTCTACGTCCCCTCCGAGGTGCTCAAGACGCGGCTGCAGCTCCAAGGCCGCTACGACAATCCGTATTTCCGCTCGGGCTACAACTACCGCGGCACGACGGACGCCGTGCGCACGATCGTCCGGCAGGAGGGCCCCAAGGCGCTCTTCCACGGCTACAAGGCGACGCTGTACCGCGACCTGCCCTTCTCCGCGCTGCAGCTCATGTTCTGGGAGCAGTTCCACGCCTGGGCGCGCGCCTACAAGGGAAGCCGCGAGGTCGGCGTGCCGCTCGAGCTGCTGACGGGGGGTCTAGCCGGCGGTCTCGCGGGCATAGTGACGTGTCCGCTCGACGTTGTCAAGACGAGGCTGCAGACGCAGGTGCACATTCCGCCCGAGGCGGCGGCGGCGAGCAGCGCGGCGACGAACAAGACGGCGCACGCGTCACATCCTCAGAAGCGCAACATCTCGACGTCCTCGCCGTCGACGCACACGCCGCGCCTCGGCGCCGTCAACCTGAAGACCATGTCGGTGCTCAAGGGTCTCGGGGTGATTTACCAGACCGAGGGCCTCGGGGGCTGGTTCCGCGGCGTGGGTCCCCGCGGCGTGTGGACGTTTATCCAGAGCGGGTGCATGCTGTTCCTGTACCAGAGGTTACTGCGGGAGTTGTCGATCTGGGATCCGCGAGACGAGGAGAAGGTGGCGCCCATGTGAAGGGGGTTTAGCGGCGCGCGATACGAACAAAGGGCAGGATGCGCAACGGCGCGGCAGAGAGGCGAGAGCGAGAGCGAGAGCGAGAGAGCATCCATGTACAACATCGAGGGCATTTTCTGTACAATGTGTAGGACCTAGAGAACTAGAGTCATGGGGACCCCATAGGGCGGCGTTGGAGGATCCGGATAGACGGACATTGACAGCGATAGAGCTGGCTCGGACGAGCAAGACAAGTCTCTTTTCATTCAGCGTCGGATGAATACACCAGCGTTTATTGACCAGATCCAGATCACCAGTCCAGGCAAGATGGTGCCGTAGTGAAGACGGCGGGCTCAACTGCAGTGCCTAGGCCCACGCTCTTGAGCACACAAGCTTGTTGAAGATGGAGGCACCTGAAGGTCTACAGACGCTTTATTGACTCGTAATGTGAAAGTTGACCTGTAGCAGACGCGAAGGATGCCGCTCGAATACTGCCCCTTGCCATCATGCTACGACAGCAGCTCGAAGGCTGGAGGACGAGGAGCTCGTGGAGCCAGCTCAGACACATACAACGACGGCAAACAGTGGCAGCAAAGGAGGCAAAGTTTGGAACAGTTTGCATCCTGCACATTCTCCTTCTGCGAAGCCTAGTGGACCTAGAAGTGCTCTGAAAGGTAGCGAGCCTAAATGAGGAGCCCGACTTGCAAGATGCTTCGACCAAGGATTCGAGATGGTAATGGGGAAGAAATTCAAGGGGTAGACATGGCAGGCTTGGGGCAGCTCCAGGATGAGGTCAGCGCAGTTACCCCTGTCAAAGGGCCCTGTGACGACACGTCCAGCTCGGACGAGCTCGGACGCGCTCGCAACGCGGGGAGCAGGCGCCGCCCTGACCGTGACTGGCCCAGCTACCTAGGTACCTAGGTAGGTACCCCTAGGCACCTCAGGGAGGTAGGTACCTCAGGGAGGTAGGCACCTTATGGAGCTCGTCCATTCTGACTTGGCGACAATCCCGAAATCTTTCCTCCTCGCTGTCAACCTTTCAAGTCACCCACCCACGCAACCCCCCTTTACGTGCCTGGTGCATCCCCTTTGTTGCTTCGCCGGTTGGCTTTCATCTGGTCCATTCTGTTCTGTATTGTTCCGTTCTGTCACTTCGCAATGGCCGACGCAGACACTCCTCCACGGGATTCGACTCCCAGCACCTCCTTCACTCCAGCGACAACCGCGACGACCACGGCAGTGTTCATTCCCCAGAAACGAGCAATCGAGGAGGACCACGCTCCCTCAGTCCCGTCACCCCTGAACCCAGACGTACGATCAACGCCACAGGCCCAGTCCACAGACGACATGCCTGCCCACACGCGCGACAAGCGGGCCAAGAAGGAGTCGTACAAGAAGCGCGAGTCCAAGGTCACCTTTGGCGGCGACAGCAACCGCGGCACCCCTGATCCCAAGGGCAAGAGTAAAAATGCCCCTTCTCGGGACAAGGAAGAACCCTCGTCCTCCGAGTCGGGCCCGCTGCGGTATAAGCTGCCCGCGGCGAAGCAGACCGATTTCGACCCGCCCCGTGGTCCCGTCTTCATCTCCCACCACGAAGTACCCTCCCTCGACGGACAGGGCAAGATTGCTTTCTTCGAGACCTCTGACCAGTACGTCGCTCCTGCTCCAAACGTCTCCAAACGTGACCCCAGCGCCTGACTCTGACTGCCTAGTGTATACAACAAGAAGAGCTATCACTACACCCACTGCATCGCCGATCCCGCCTTTCCCTCGTCCCTCTACTACCGCCAGACCGAACCCTTACCCCATGGGCCTCACATGAGCTTTGAGGACTCGGCCACCCACATGTTCTTCGACCAGTCCGGCCGCCACATCACCACTCACAAGGGCTTTCGTATGACCCGCGCCAATGTTGCCATCCGTCAGGGTCGCTTCTACTACGAAGTCAAGATCAACAGAGGCATCGTCAAGGACCCCAAGCCCGGCGACCCCGAGTCCAACGGCCACGTTCGCATGGGATTCGCGCGTCGCGAGGCCGCCGTCGACGCGCCTGTCGGCTTCGATGCCTATAGCTACGGCATCCGCGACAAGGCCGGTCAGAAGGTCTACATGTCCCGGCCCAAGGACTTCTTCCCCGCCGGCGAGGACATTCAGGAGGGCGACGTCATCGGCCTCGAGATTCAGCTACCCTCTGAGCACCTCCACCGCAAGGTCGTCACAGGTCGCTACAACCCCGCCGTCGACCTCGACACGTCCGCCTCCTGCGACCCCCACGGCGGGACCAGCGAGGCCCCGAACATTGTGCGCGACCGCATCCCCATCCGCTTCAAGGCCCACATCTATTTCGAGCAGATCGACTACCACACGTGCAAAGAGCTCGAGGACCTCATGAGCCCCAACCCCGTCGTCAACCCCGACTCGGCCGAGCAGCCCAACCCCGTCCACGCCCTGCCCGCCCTGCGCACTCTGCCGGGGTCCCACATCAAGGTGTACAAGAACGGCGTGCCCATGGGCACCGCCTTTGAGGACCTCCTCGTCTTCCTGCCGCCAGCCTCCAAGCCGCTCGCCGCCCCCGGCGCGCGCGAGGGCTTCGACGACGGCATGCTGGGGTACTACCCCGCCGTCAGCGTCTTCCGCGGCGGCGCCGCCGAGGTCAACTTTGGACCCGACTTTTGGTGTCCCCCTGGCGCGAGCCCTGGCCAAGAAGACATGGCCATGGGCGGCGTCGACGACGCGCGGGCCCCGCTGCTGCCCGTGTCCGACCGGTACACGGAGCAGATTGCCGAGGACGTCGTCTACGACATTATTGACGAGGTGGACTTTTGGATGCAGGACGGCGGACAGGTTCTCGATCACGCCAAGGACGAGCGCAAGGGCGGCAACGACGTCGGCCTGCCTGACCAGGAGGAGATCAAGGAGGTCGTGCAGGATGATTGAGAGGCTTGTCGACAAGGCGCGGCGGTTTGGCTTTTTTTAAATTTTTGGGAGAAAGAGAGAGAGATACCCTGGGCTGGCGTTTGGTGTTGATGGTCAAGGTGATGCAGTACGTCGCTTCCTTATCTCTTTGGGACACAATATATAACATGAGGCACGGACGGATGGCGGACTAAAACGGGCACGATGCTGTTTGAAACTTCATGACTGTCATGGCAATTCATCAAAACTATATATTAAGAGAACATTGGGGGTATCCTGGGGTCATTTTCATCCAAATCCATCGAATCGAACCGTTCATCCAAGTCTATGCCGCCCCCTCTCGCATCTCACATGACTGGCAAGCCAGCATCACCTGTGCGTCCGCCTGCGACGAGGGCTCTCGAGGGCAGGGTCGACCTCACTCAGCGGCGACACGCGCCCGCTCCTCGACTCCCGGCCGCTGCGCGAGTCGCGCGACCGGCGGCCGTGGCCGTGGCTCTCGCGGTCGCGGTCGCGGTCGCGGTGGTGGCTGCGGCTGCTGGAGCTGCGGTAGGACGAGGCACGCGACACGGGGGCCGGCAGCATGGGGTCGTCGGGCAGCTCCTCGACGCGGGCGGCACCGTCGATGGGGGGGCCGTTGCGCTCCGAGTTTTCGCGCTCGAGGCGGACCTCGCGGCCGCGCTTGTGGCAGTACCAGAGGACGAGAAGGAGGACTGGATGGCCGGTTAGCATTCGTGTCAACAACCAGACATTCGTCTCATCAACCAGGGGGACGCGATGGGGAGGGATGACGTACGGAAAATGGCCACGCTCCAGACGACGTTGAGGCCAATAAAGGCGGGCCAGCGCAGCTTCAAAAAGTTGACAATGGCCTTGAGCATGCCGATGATGGCGCCGGGCTTGGTGACGAGGTCGTTGAGGCTCTTGGGCATGAGCAGGCTCTTGGCGGCGCTCTTCATGTCGGCGCCGTCGGCGTTGGGGTCGCGCTTGATGCCCTGGCTCTCGGCGGCGGCGGCCATCATCTCGGGCCCCATCTGCTTGGTGACCTTGTCGGGGAGGCCGGCGACGAGCTTCTTCATGCTGCTGGGGAGCTTGTCGTAGTTCTTCTTGAGGGTGCCGTCGCGGTCGTCGACGAGGGCCTTGAGGTCGTCGACGGCCGTGGGCACGCCGTTGACGAGGTCCTTGAGCACGAGGGTGAACTTGCGGACGAGCTCGTTCGACTCGGCCGACAGCGCGAAGGCCTTGTTGTTCTGGGCGCCGAGGTTGAGGTCGTCGAGGACGCGGGAGAGGTCGTCGCGCTCGCGGGCCTCCTCGGACGGGTCGACCTTTTTTGGCTCGACGACGGCCAGCTGCTTGTCCTTGTCCTTGTCCTTGCGGTGGAGCAGGAAGGAGATGGGGTTGTGTGACTTTTTCTCCTTCTCCTTCTCCTTCTCCTTCTCCTTGATCGGCAGCGGTGCCGGCGCCGCCTTGGTGGCATTTTGGATGCCGCGAATGGTCGACTCGTCGGAGGAGTCCCAGTTCACATCGGACGTGCTGGCGGTGCGAGGCGGTAGAGGCGGTGCCGGGCCGTCGTATTCGTCAGAGTTCAGAATGGAAGCGAAGAAGGCCTCGTCGTCCTTGTCGAGAATGGGACCAGGCTCCTGCGCCAGCTGTGAGCGAGAGTTGGTGCGGGAGGCCGATGGCCTCGAGCTGCTCTGATGCTCATGCTCTGCGGCCACTGCGTCCTTGGCGTCCTTGTCTGTCTTGTACTTCTTGTACTTTTTGTAGCTGATGTATTCGAGCATCGCAGCGGTGTGGCGATGGGCGAAGGGCAAATGCCGATGGGAAGTGGGTGGGTGTGTTGTAGGTGATGGGAGGGACAGAGAGAGAAAGGAGGGGTCGTTGTTCAATATAAAGAAACAGCAGATGGCGATCGTTTGTTTCGGTTCCCTCTCTCACACGCAGCAGAAGAAAAGAAAAGAGAGCACTTTTGGCAAAATGCTTGTCCCGCCCTATATGTCTGACGTCTGTTCTCTGTTCAGGGCGTCGCTGGCATTTGATCTAAGAAAACGAGAAAGATGCAGGCCACTGGGCAGGCGGAAGGTAGACGGACGAGAGCGAACCTGGAAGCGTGCGCAGCCACTATGAAGCTGCGTCATGTCATTCAACCATTGCTGTTGGCGCCCTCCCTGGGCGAGCTCGGCAAGCTCCAGGCGGCTTGGAGGTACATGAAGAGGAGGTGCTGATGCCGCATAAACATAGGTACCGCAGGTTCAGGGCCGCCTGAGCGAGTGGACAGCGCTGTGCCAGCTGTGGCCCGCCCCGGAGCAAGTACCGAGCCCCAGCGGTGGGAACCCTGCCCTGCCGTGCTGATCGCCACCACCTACGACCCAGGTGCC